CATTATCTAAAAGACAACATTGCACATTTTTTTTTAGTGTCTTTTAAGAGCACAGAAATATTGATGGTTGGCAACACATAAATGGGAAAGTATCACTTATTTTTTGAGTTTTGGATTCATTTCAGTGTTGATAATTCAATACTTTTTTAGACTAAATTCATCAGAGATTATTCTTTCCATACCAGACACAGCAGTGACTTTGTCATTCCTTCCATTTGGGGGTTTGGCTCTTCTTTGGTCATTTATTTTCCTATCCATTGGCTTAATCTCATTTTCACTTCTGCTTTGACATCTTAATGACAATACCATTGAAGTTGTTGCTACTTGCTTTATCATAAACTCTTACAAGTAAATTGCTGGCTGACAAAGCACCTCAAAGAGTAGATGACTTATTCAGATTCCACTTTAGGAGAAGAAAAAAAAATTCACAGATGGAGGATTTTTTTTTTTTTCACAAGATAGGTTACTTGATAAAGGAACTGCCCCCTTCGAGGTCTGTCTGGGCTTTCTGATGGGAGATGTTTTCACATCTGAGCTCATACCTTGGCATCTGAGGCTCTGGATGTTAATGAGAATGGAACAGGGGTGGGAGTGGGCTGGGGTTCCTGGCTTTAAACAGGAAGTAGCCTAGCAGAACTGAAGCTGAAATTTGGCCTGCTCCTCAGGTTCTGAAGCATCTCACCTTGTTCAAAACTCCTGCTGAGTTGAATAATAGTTTAGTCATTCACTTGTACCTCTTCATAGTATAAAGCCTTAGGTTGTTAATGGAAGGTGTGTTAATGGAAGTTACTGGTCAGATCTATGAACTAAATCCTGAATTGCTGCTGTTTCACCCACTAACCTTGTGCTTTTCTCCTCCGTAGAATGAGGTGGCTGGTGCTAGTTTATCTTGGAGAGAGATATATTTCAGAAGAATTCCACTGTCACAAAATATCACCATCAGCAATGAAACTCTGTGTAGAGAGTCATGTCTAATTTCATTAATTCTTTGACACTACTATCCAGATTCTAGAAAGAGGGTCTTTGAGGCAAGCTGACCCCGAGGCATTATGTATTTGGGATCAGCAGTTTGCCCTTTCTTGGTAATATTTGCTGGAAATTCTCTAAGTAAAGTAGAAACTCATTGTAGTGTGTGTGTTGGGAGGAAATGATAGTACCCACTGTTGGAGCTCTGCAGTCCTGAAAGGTTTGGAGGGATTGAGGCGGGGACTAATCTGACACAGAGTTTACTGGAGCATTTGTAATGGCAGTTAATTATGTTTACGATATCACTGCAGCGGGAAAGCCTTTATCTCTTCCTTATGGACACTTTCACACGACACAAAACCCCTACTTACCGAGAACAAGTAAACCTTAGGAAGGGCTGATTTTTCCCTGATCCACCTGATTGTATCGAGGTCAAGTGAGATTGTGTGAAAGGCCTTTTAAAAAATATTTTATTTAAGTTCAATTAATTAACATAGAGAGTGTTATTTCAGAGGTAGAGTTCTGCGATTCATTGGTTGCATAGAACACCCAGTACCCTCCTGAATGCCCATCACCCAGTTATGCCATCTGCCTCCAACCCCCTCCCCTCCAGCAACCCTCAATTTGTTTCCTAAAGTTAAGAGTCTCTCATGGTTTGTCTCCCTCTCTGCTTTCATCTTGATAAAAGGCCTTTTTGAAGCAATAAGTCACAAATGCCTATACCAAAGGTTCTCGCATTTTACCATGCAAAAGAGCCCCCTATATCCCCAGTAGTGCTTATTATAAATGCAGATTTCCAAACCTTTGTCTCCTACCCTCCATCCAAATTATGATTCAGTAGTGTTCAGGTGGGACCCAGAAACCTGAACCCTTGATGAGAAGGCCAGGTGATTCTTAGGCAGGAGTTCTAAAAAACACTCTGGAAACACTGTGCATTTTTTTGTTTGTTTGTTTTATTTTGTTGCTTTATTTCTTAGCTGTGTCATCATGGGCAAAATGAACCTCAAAACTTTTCTAGTTAATATCATAGTCTTTTTTTTAAGATTTATTTATTAAGATTATTTATCTATTTATGATAGACAGAGAGAGAGAGAGAGAGAGAGAGAAGCAGAGACACAGGAGGAGGGAGAAGCAGGCTCCATGCCGGGAGCCTGACGTGGGACTTGATCCCGGGACTCCAGGATCGCGCCCTGGGCCAAAGGCAGGCACCAAACCCCTGAGCCACCCAGGGATCCCCTTAATATCATAGTCTTACAGACATTTTGTAAGTTGCTCAGGCAAAAACTTTAATTCCAGGACAGTTTCTATCTTACAACTTATGTGAGTGGTAGCCCTCCATTATTAGCGAATGCCCAAGTACTTCTAAAAAGAGTTATTTCTCTGAAACTAATTGTCTTAGATTTTCATAGGTTTTCACATTTTATTTTATTTATTTTTTAGAAATTGACTTCTAGCAATTATCCTTTTTTTTTTTAAGATTTATTTATTTATCTGAGAGAGAGTGAGCACAAGCAGAGAGAGCAGCAGGCAGAGGGAGAGGGAGAAGTAGCCTCCCCGCCAAGCAGGGAGCCCAATGTGAGGCTCGATCCCAGGACCCTGGGATCATGACCTGAGCCAAAAGCAGACGTTCAACTGACTGAGCCACCCAGTCTCCCAGTTTTCACATTTTATAAAGCATTCCACATATACCAAAGCCTCACTGATCTAAAAAAAATGTATTCCTACCACAATGCCACTTGACTGATACAGATTGTTGAAATTGATTAAAAAAAAACAAAACTAAACTAAAAACTAAGAATTGCTTTCTTTGGCCTACATAATCACTGGTGGCATCACATATATCTCCACCCAATTTTCAGTCTTTACTTCTGAGGCAATAGATTGACACCAGAGGGCCCTGTCTTTTTTGGCCTTGTTTAAAAACAAACAAACTAACAAAACAAAAAAAGAAAGGATTTTAATAGTGCAGCTTTATGGTAGAGTAAAAGCAAACCAAAGGGGCATACTTGAGGACTGCTTGCTGGAAATTGCCGATGACAGTAGTTACCTCGCCTTGGTCCCACCCAGACCTTCCTGTGACCCGGGTGACCCGGAGCAGTCTCAGGGATCTGGATTCTGTTAGTGGAACTGTCCCTCTTCTGCACCACAGCATCCACAGCATCCACTGGCCTGAAGAAGGTGCTGTTTCCCAGGAAAAGGAGTTAAATCCCCCCAAGAAACGCACAGGGCCATAGTTTGAAGAAAAAGCATTGCTAACCAAGTGACTTACCCTGCATATTCTTTCTTTCTCTGGTTATATTCTTTGAGATTTTTATTTAAGATAACTTTCAGCATCTCTCGTTAGAGGTCAGATATGAATGAGAAGATTTTGTTTGACTTGCTAATCTTGTGACAAACAGTTTATACCCAGAGTAGCTTCCTGTCTTTGCTGACTTGGTTATTTGAGGGCATTTTCTCCCTGTTAAGGCTGTGGAGAGCCTCTAAAAATAAACAACATAGTTGCTTATTGGTGAGAACATATGTGAGCAGATGTCAGCTGGTAACAGCATATGGTGGCAACATGAGAGCAGCATGTTTCAGAAACGTGATGTTGAGCCTTCCGCTTTCATGCCTCTGCAGGCCATCCAGTGTGCCATAATCTCAGTGAAAGAGAGTTCTGACTGGGAGGTGTGTCCCACAGAAGTGTGAAAGCATGTCACAGGGGTCGTGTTAGTGGGTTAGAGACGGTAAGTTACAGGGTTTAGAAAAAGTCTTTCCTATCCGTTTTCAAATCGAGAGATAAAAGGCACACATCTGTCCAAAAAAAGAAAAAGAGAAAGAAAGAAAACCATGTACACAAACCCCCCACCCTTACCCCCCCCCCACCCCCCAAATTGAGAGAGGAATCCATAAGATCTTTTGTCTTTTGTCAAACGAAGTCTTCAAGTCCGGTCTGAAGAGTGGCGGTGCTTCTTCTGGAAGACATGCCCTAGATGAATGAATGGAAGGTGCATGGATTTTAAATCTGTGTCAGGAGCTAGGGAAGATGTACATCCATACCAGGCCTGGAAGCCAGTCAGGGATTCATCTATCAGATAAGTTATATGACTAGTATTATCACATCTCTCGATCACCTTTTTTTTTTTTTTTTTTTTTTTTTTTTTTTTGCCAATCTCTTAAATATATCATCTTCTTGTGATCTTCTAAAAACCCTCAGGGATAGCATTATGTAGGCTTCATTTATAGGAAACAGACGCTTGGGTGAATCCAGGCACTTGGTCAAAGATTCACAGGAAACCAGTAACAGAGCAGGGGTTTCCCTCTACATCTTCTTATGCAAAACTCCTCTATTTGTCATTGACTCTACCCCAGATTAGAACACTCAGCAACGTTTTCCCTTCAACTGGAGGTATTTTGGGGTGTATTTTCTTTTATAAGAATATGGTGGGCAATATACAAGATGTAGTTGCTGTTACTTTAAAGAAATAAAAGTTCAAAATTCCATCATGTAATAATCCATTCCGAGCAGCCCTAGATTTTTAAACTGTAGCTGAGCAGCCCCAAACCAAGGTACACTTGGAATTTTGACACATTCAAGAAATTTTCACATGCGGGTTAGGAATGGTGATGGAGGGGATGTTTTAAGGAAACTGAAATCTAGGCCAGCCCAAAGAAACCTTGAGTTTTATTCATAAAAGGTAGGCTGTCTTTTGTCAAAGGAGGTCAAGGTCTTTCCTGTTCATCTTTGATGTAAGTCACGGTATTTATTTTACCGTTTCCGTGTATAAATTGTACTTTGTGATTTTGATGCTAGAGCGTTTTAAAGGGAACAGGGAATTCAGGAGCCTGACTGGTGGTTAAGGGATGTCAATAGATCTGGGACCGGAATCCAGAATCCCTCCTAGATCCTTGGTCCCTGAGTAGCAGAGACCTTATATGTGTGGGGGATATAAGTACATTCGGAGAGCCCTCTTCGACTTTGAATCTTTGTATAGCTCTGTGCAAGGCATCGCCTCAGTAAAATAGCTAATGACTGTGCTTTTTAAAACTCCTAGCTGTCTGCCCAGTTGTTACAACACCCTCTGGCTCAGTGGGCAGCTTCTGCTCCAGACAGTCCCAGGTGCTCTGTGGGTACCTTGGTGAGTACACTTGTCTGCTTTATACCTCATTTGACATAGTGATATCAAGTCCATCTTTAGTGTCTGTCTCCTTTGGGGAACTTGTCCAAGGCCAGAGAGAATTCTGGAATGCAGCCTTGTAGCTGAACAGACAGAAAGATTTCCCAAATTTTTAGTCAGTAAATGATGACTTGATTGCCGTATGTGAAAGAGTGGGTTATGGGTACATGAGATGTGCTCCAGGGGTGACAGAGTGGTCTGAAATACAGATCTGCTGACCCCCATGGAGGATGCTCTCTGGAGGGTTGAACAGTATGGCCAGAATATCAGGGGTCCCTTCTGGGTGTCTTTTTATATATATGTTCTTATGCCTGGCATACAGTAGTTGCTCAATTAATGTTTCTTGTACTGAACTAAAGGGAAAGGAGCTTTGCTTTCCTTTGAAGTTCTGGAGGGAGGCCTGTGGGAAAGTTGCCATTATTTATGACCTTCGTGTTGTCATTTCTGGGTTGCATGAGAATGGATTGTCATGGATCAAGCCTTTGGCTGACTGGACCTGGGAGCTTGCCACTTAGCCCTGACCCTCAGAACAAGTGCTTACCCCTCAGAGCCAGTGCCACAGGTCAGGCCGAGGAGCACAGAAGCCAGAGTTCTCAGTGCTTTCTGATTTGGAACATTACTCAATTCAGTCAGCTTTTATTGAGAGCCTACTGTATGCTGAGCAGTGAGCTCATAACAAAGAACAGCCTTAGTTGATCCTGATATTTAAGAATTCAGGGGCCCAGGTGTCCCTGATCCATGTTCAGGAAGAGGTGACATAGACTCACAATCCTGGTGTTGGTTTACTCACATTTTTTGAGACCCTCAAGAAGGTTTGGATTATACTGATGCTAAATGTGGGCAAAGGTCCCAGTAGGGACAAAAGAAATGTTTTTATTACCTTAGTAGATATCTGCTTCACTGGTATATCCTACTCTGCATTTTACCATGCCCGACCTGGCTTCTTAGGAATCAAGGAATGAAGGATTCAAGTAGTTTATTTACAGTGGCCTAAGCTGGGTTTCCTCATAAAAGAGCAGATTCTATTGAGAATATACATTTATTTTCATGGATGAAAGTGGCTAGAAGCTGCCATGTGAATAAAGAGTAAAAGGTTTAATCCATGCATTTAAGTTTCCCTTTTGTGAGACGGATTTTATTTTGTTTTCATCCTCTATGTTTATATTTTATTTCACTATCTAAACCAAGGATTTAATTGTCTGACTTTTTTTCCCCACTAGCCTTTTGGAAAAGAAAAGGGAAGGGGATAAGAGAAGGAACACATTTGTTGAGTCTCTCCTATGTCCCTGGCACTCACAGACACATCATCCTGACCCTCCCCATGCTGGGGGGTTGGGCATGGCCGGGATGACCATCCCCACATGTCAGGAGATTGTGACTTGGAGAGGAAAATACCTTGTTCTGGGTCATAGCACCAGGGGGTGGCCGAGCCAGAATCCGAATTCAGGTCTGGCCTCGATGCCCTCCAACCAGACCACAGACCCCTGGACTTTCCAGCCCTCCTTTAGCTTTCCCTTTGCAATCTTGTCCCATTAATTTTTTAAATTATCTTAGTGACCCCTTTGGATTCATTTCCTTTTCATCTTTTCTTCCTGTAGTAAACAAGTCGAGAGGCCTACCCTGGTTCTCTGTGTGGTTTTTCTTCTCAGACACTCCTCACTTGGGGTTATGTTCGGTCATTGAATTGCTGCAAGCCTCCTTCCTTCTTTGGTGAAAAAACACTGGAAACCCACCCTGCCCTTCAGTGAGTCTGGGAAAATCAGGAGTGTCTCCGAGGGTGTGGAAGGGAGATAGGGCCCAAGCTCCATGCAGATTCCCGTACAGCGGGAGGCCCTTTCACCCCACCCAGCTTCCAGGCCTGTGGGAAAACCTGCGGACCCCTTTCAGACCTTCCATGGAAGACCGCTGAGCAGTGGGGCTCTGCATTTTTTTTTTTTGTCTCTGTTCTTAGAAATAGTAATTGAGTAAAAATGTAAGTGAGTGGATGCCAGGGGGCAAGTGTCCAGGGTCAGGGTGAATTTCTCCATGCTGAGTGTGATTCTGAGCACTCGTTAAGTGGAGGCTGGCCTGTGCCAAGCAGCTCGAGGGCCATCCCTGTCACCTTGCGTGAACCGCCTCTCCATTCCAAGGAGATGTTGGGAGCGGCTGGAGGGAGCGCAGGGCCTGTGGCGCCTCTTGCTGTTCTCACTCTCTAACCTGGGTGTAGTTGATAACTCCGTGTTCTGACACCCATGATTGGACTGGCAGTGCTGATGCTTCATCAGCTTTAAATAAAATCCTCTGGAGGACGGAATGGTCCTTGCTCCTCACAGCCCATGTGGCTGCTGAATCATTTTTCTCTTTTTAAATTCATTAGCCCCCCAAATCTTGGTGAAGCTAAGCTTAGCCTGCCTGAAGCTTTTCCTTCTAAGATAAATGAATCCAGAGGATCAGCAACCAAGCTTGCTTCTCTGTGAATAAATGGATTAAAAGTTGTGAAGGCAAATTCAGGTGGTTCTGGTTCTGATTTTGGTTTTGGTTTTGCTTTTTTTTTTTTTTTTTTCAAGTAGCTCTGTTGAGATTTAAAGATGGTGTTTCTCAAAGCGTGGCCTGCATGTGTATCTCCTGAGGTGTCCCTAAAGAGCAGATTCCCTGGCCCTGCCTCAGAGCTGGTGCTTGTACACCTGTAAGCAGGCTCTGCAGCTTATTCTGACCTCACTGGAGCCTGCGGCTGCTCAGGGCAGTGGATGCTCTGATTATCCAGGTCTATCTACTCACAGTCCCGCAGTGTGCAAGGATTCAGATCCAGCAGAGCCTCTGTGTGATCAACTGGTTCTGCAAGGTGGGACCCCTCACCTACAGCACAGCAGAGTCTTGACCCCGACCTTTCCATTCTCCCAAGTGTGTATTGAGGTAGACCTGTTGTCCCATCCTTTCCAATCTCCCAAGTTCATACAGATATTGAGGTAGACCTGTTGTCCCGTCCTTTCCAGTCTCCTAAGTGCATACAGATATGCCTCGAGGTAGCCCCTCTGTCAGCAGCATCACACATATCCATGCTCACTCTTCACCATGGGGTGGGGGGAGGGCAGTGAGTATGTAAGGAAACAAATTAGTCACATGGGATAATGCATGCTTAGTTTGGAATTATGCCTAGGAGTGAATTCTTCCACTTAGGTGCCTTCAGCCAGGCAACTCTGAGTGGGAAGGGGATTTTGAAAATTAATATATGATGTGGAAGTGGCCTAGTATAACGTATAAGTCGATGTACAGTGTTTAATTCCCTGAGGTTGTGTTTGGTCGAAGCACTGCCGACCTCTTCGTGACCTGAATCCTGTTCTCAGACATTCCATGGGGTAAGGATCTGGCCGACAATGGAATGTAAACTCTACTCTCTCGGCCAGACTGGGCTTTGAGTAACAGCAGTTTTCTGCTTCCAAATGATGTTTTTCTCAACCAGAGGTATTAGAGCAGGTGCAAATCGGATCATCTTTTAAAAAGCAAAGTTGATGATGAATTTCTTGGTGTCTGTACAATCCTCTACTTCCTGCTATTTTGATGTTACTTGGGAATCGTTGAGTACTTTGAATCCAGCCCCACAGTATGGCTGTTCCGTACCTACAGTAGGATTCTTGGCTGTCAGACTACTTAGGGAAATACCCAGTTCTACGTGGTCTGTGTCCCTAACCGTCCCACCCGGCTATTGAAGTGTGAAAGGAATGATGGGTAGTGTCAGTTCTACTTCCCCAAAAGCCTTTAATGGAAAGATCTCTACATTAATTATAAATGTAGATACAGGTTTAAGATAAATGTCAAACGCATGCAGAGATTGTGGGAGGACACAGGTAAAAAACAGGTTGTTCTTGTGAAAATTAGTTCCTTCCGCGGTATTAACCACGTGTCTGCTCTAGTGATGCCACCAGTGACTAAAACAGCAAAAAACTTGGTCGTTAGTGAAGTCCACGCTTTGGGGGAAGACAAATAATTAATTTTAAAAATTAAATAAGCATGACAGAATTTGAAAATACTAGAGGGGAAAACAGAGCAGCGTTAGAGGTGGAGCTGCAGTTTTAAAGAAGCTGGGTGTGGGAGGGTTCAGGAAGAGGGTGGCATCTAAGCAGAGGCTTGAAGGAGGTCAGAGAAGAGCCTGGAGCTCTCTGGGAAAGAACATTTCTGGCAGAGGGAACAGCTGGTACTGCCCCTGACATGTTCAAGGATTATCAGAAATGTCCTAGGAGATGAGATTAGAGAGAGATCATGTCTGACAGGTCAGGTAGCGCCTTGTAGGCCAACATCAGGTCTGTGGCTTTTCCTCTGAATAAAATAAGGGGAAGGGTGGGTTCAGTCAAGGTGGTTCTGGTGGCTTTAAGGTGATTATCGTACACAGGGTAAGTAAAGGCGGAGCTTGAAGTCTGGTGAGGAGGAGTCTGTGCTGCATTGCAATGGCATTTTACAGCTGCATTCCCAGGTTTCCAAGAATTTCCAAGAATTTCAAAATCGCTGAGTTCTTTCTTTGTTAATAATTTGATCAGCAAGCTACAGTGGGTTCTGGACGTAGAATATAGTTTTTGGAAATTTTTAAAATGAATATTCCTGAGTTATTGTCAACTCAGCCCCTTCCTTTCTAGAAAGGAGCTATCTGTGTTTTAAAATAACCTCTTGGTGGGGCAGCCTGGGTGGCTCAGTGGTTGAGCGTCTGCCTTTTGGCCCAGGGCATGATCCTGGAGACCCAGGATCGAGTCTGACGTCGGGCTCCCTGCAAGGAGCCTGCTTCTCCCTCTGCCTGTGTCTCTGCCTCTCTCTCTCTCTCTGTGTCTCTCATGAATAGAATAAAATAAAATAAATCTTTAAAAAAAAATAACCTCTTGGGTCTCCCATCTGTGCTGACAGGTGTGGAATGGCAGCTCTTGGGGGTTCGTACTTGCTGTGATGCCTCGTCACAGTGTCTTTGACTTGGTGGGCAGGGACACGTGGCAGTCAGC